ACAATACACAACCAGATTTGCTTCTTGTAGTTAATAAAATACTCAGAGCCCTCTCCTTCTGTCCAAGAAAAACAAAGCATAAATAGGAAAAAATGAGTGCTGTAAACCTGATAGAAATAATGTATAATTTTCATCCTTCTATTACTAATTTTATAGGTTACATTTTCAACCATGTCCCCATAAAAAATATTACACTAATAAACTCTTAGTGTCTTTATTTAATATTTATAGCACTGTGGGAGAACCAAACTCTACTGGTAAAAGGTAAAAACAGCAATTCAAACAGCTACTTCAGAGTCTAATAAACATATCCCTAGTGATCAAGTTTAAGAGTATACAGTTTAAGAAAATGCTTTGATACAGAAAACTGTCGAAGATGAATGGCTGTATGTTGGTCGGTATATGAATGTATATAAAAACGTGCATGCCTACACCCTTGGCTTCACAAAGCATGGATTATTCATTAAGTGTTCTCAGAGTGAAAAACAAAAACGATGAATGAGTTAGGAGAATTAATGAACTGCCCCACAGTCTATCATCTGCTGAAAATATTTAGCATGATTTAGCATGTTCTTAATGTTATTTTCTTGCAATTAATGGTACAGAAATCTTCTACAATTTTTCCCATTTTCCATATCTCAGGTCAATGTGAAACATTACATCCAATTTTCCAGTGCATTATTTATGATCTCTGAGCTATGACTGCTAATATTTGCCTTACTGGAATAATAATAAATTACCATAACAATTTACCATATGTAATTATGTTAAACAAAATCTTTCTTTATTTATCTTCTTGTAATCTTCAGTTACAGTGAATCCTCCTATATGGCATATGCAATAATACAACATTCATGACATTCCCAACCTATTATATGCTTGTTAGACATGACTCCATGCGCTAGTCAACTGGTGATACCTCCAAAACAGCCAACGAGCTGCAGTCTATCTCCAGCAGCAAGTAAGATAGATTTCAAATGGCACATAAAAGTATTTTGCATTTAAAAGTACATTTTGAATTTCCATACTTTCAATTCCAAAACTCAACCTCCTCCATGATCAAATTATCCACGCGGGTTTTGGGCACACTACCTCATGTTCAGTTGCAGGCTGTTCTGCTTTCACAAAGCCAGGACTGCCTCCAATAGGTCTTATGGGGAAAACTGCAAGCCTTGCTCATGCACAAGTCATTTAGTAAAAAAAAAATAAAGTATTTCTGTGGGCAGAACTACATGGAAAATTCATCTTTTCATTTGTGGAGCCACCTAAATGCTTTAAACACCTTTTCCAGCTTTATATTCACTTTTAACAGCTTTTGCTTACACAGGGTTTCTGTTTCCATGGCCAGATAAAAAGAAAAGGAACAATACATTTCAACACACTGAAATCAGGATCCTTTAGAAAGTCATTCTGTCACCTTTACAGTCAGCCAGTAGCAATGAGGAGTTGAGAGTACATTAAAAAAAGATCTAAATCCCATTCAAACAAAACAAACCCAGCCCTACAGTAAACAAAACCCAATTCCCAGACACTGCCTGCCTCCTTCATATTCCCACCAGTGCTATTTTTCATTTATTGGAAGCCAATCCAACAAAAATGCATGTTTTTAAGACAGGAAAAAAAAATAATAAAAGAGGTATATTTCACTTTTGGTATTGGAATTGGAGGGGAGTACAGACCCCTGGAGAGAAGGACTGTAGAACATGATAGAAAAGATGAATCACTCTGGCAACAGCCAGCCAGCCATTAATTTTCAGCAAGCCAGGAGTTGGTCCAATTAAACCGGGCTCCTTTCTCTGCATTAACATGCTGTACCCAGGTTTTTTTCTGAAACTAAAACATCAGCTTGAGACCCCAAAGGCTTTTCTATTTAGGATCAATCAATCTACCTTGCTGCACTGTAAAACATACACTGTCAGCTCTGAGGCTAGCTCAAAAAAGAGCAACAGTGGAAAAATTTGATAAATCGACATGTTCTGGCAGTTAGTAGAGGGATTCTTCCTACACTGTCACTTATTTTTATCTGATTAGAAATAAGTATTAGTAAAGGGACTATTCCCCTCTATTCTCTTCCTGGTATTTAGCATTGGGTTAAGAGGAGTCTTTTCATCCCCAATTTTCTAAATCCAAGCCAGAAGCTTCCTACCACAAAGGCAGAGAGATACTATCCAGATTTCAAAGGGCAGTTGAGTTTGAATTGGATTTGCATGATGTGGAACTCACATTCCAGCCTTTTCTTCAGCACAGGAACATGAACCTGCATCTATTAGTGCCCCATGTGAAAGACGTTTTTCACTGCTTTCCACATTTTTATGCTCAGGGCTTTACCGCGGGTGTGCAACCTCACCTCTGGGTTTCCAGCATCTGCTTTGGCAACAATTGCTTTATTCGGGATTTCATTGCCCATTTGAGATCCCGTCACCGTCCCTCTACCCTACTGAGACATTTCAGAAATGATTAATTAGTAAACGAGCCAGGGACTGATGCCAGAGGCTGCCAAGAAGGATACTTATATGAAGTATAAGTCCCCTACAAAGCAGCACCCCAAGCTGGAATAACTCAGAGGATTACTCTTTTCTTTGGTGAATGCCATAGTAACTATGCTGTTGGCTTCCATTCTTGTTCTCAACAGACACCTTTATCCTTGGATAACGAACCTTGCACAGTCGTTTCAGTACGACAGTCCTCCTCTGTTCTAGACTGTAAGGTAGACAGAAATCTACTGGGATGTGCAACTGATGTTTTAGCTTCAGATTAAAAGGTTAGCAAAGAGAAGCTTGGTTTGAGTAATCTTGCAAATACCAACTGCCCCACACTTTTTGGCAAATGCAACCATTTTCGTTCTTTGCTCTTCTTTAAATTCCATGCACCTGCAGGATAGTACCAAGATTCACTATGGCACTAATGAGATCATTTTGCAATTAAAGGCTAAGTAGAAACAAACCTCTCACCACTCTACAGGAGAGTTTGGGTTCTCTGATTAAGCAGCAGTAAATAAACCTGTTTCACTCTTGGTCCTGGTGCAGAGGCTTTCTATGATTAACTCTCCAAACAAGATGGACTGATTGACCCCATGGATTAATCAATGAGCTTCTCAGCTTCAGAGCAAAGTGCAACTTGTGGGAGTTACCTGCAGTAGGGTGTGTTTTAATTATTATTACTACAGCATAGAGTAAATAAATCCCAGGACACTTTATTTGGAGGTTTTACCCTTAGCGCTAATGATTTTCACAACGCTCTCATGTTTGTCAAACCACCATGGGAAAAGATTTTAAACATCACTATGCGTTTCTTGAGGAAAAACTACAGATTTTATGGTAGCTTAAATGTGATAATTATAAAGGGAGGAGCCTATACAATTGTAGGGCAATCTCTAGGTTACAACAGCCACGTGCCCATCTCACCTGATGGCAGGAGCATCTCTGGGAGGTGCTACTGGGAGGCTGGGGCTGTATTTGAGAAACCCGGCGTGCTGCACCGAGCACCTTCTCCCGGGCAGAACGGAGAGCCCAGCCTGCTGGTACCAGCAGTGTCCTTGCACTGGGGGCAGCAGTGGGAAGCAGGCAAGCACACACAACTCCTGCACAACCGCAGCCATCCCTGCCA